CAACAGTCCAGTTTTGGTGAGTCTGTGCCCACTGCAGCCTCAGCTTTCTGTTCTTGGCTGACACAAGTGGAACCCGACATCTTCTGCTGTTGTAGCCCATCTGCCTCAAGGTTCGACATGTTGTACATTCTGAGATGCTTTTCTGCTCACCACAATTGTACAAAGTGGTAATCAGAGTTACTGCAGCCTTTCTGTCGGCTCGAACCAGTCTGGCCATTCTCTGTTCACCTCTCTCATCAACAAGGTGTTTCCATCCACAGAAGTGCAGCTCACAGGATGTTTTTTTCTTTATTGCACCATTCTGTGTAAACTCTAGAGACTGCTGTGTGTGAAAAACAGCAGTTATAGAAATACTCAAACCAGCCCGTCTGGCACCAACAATTATGTCACAGTCAAAATCACTGAGATCACAATTTTTTCTCCACTCTGATAGTTGATGTGAACATTACCCGAAGCTGCTGGCACGTATCTGCATGATTTTATGGGTTGCTCTGCTGCCACACGATTGGCTGATTAGCTAATTGCATGAATGAGTAGGTGTACAGGTGTTCCTAATAAAGTGCTCCGTGAGTGAATACTGATGCATTTAATATTGTTTCAAACATATCTTGATTAATCTCGAGGGCTGTAATTGCAGCTTTTACAGTAAGGACTAGTTAATTTTTGCATATTAATCCTTTACACAATTTTATTCATGTAACTCCCTTTATACTTCTTGGAGGTTCTACAGTTATACCTTTTCAGCTGTTTTACTTATTATTATTATTATTATTATTATTATTATTATTATTATTTAGTCAGCAATTAGTTGGCTAATATTGAGTTTTCTGTTTGGATTGTTATTTAACTTTACCTAAAGTTTTAGGACTACTTACAGGATGTACTACTTCATACTCATTCCTGAAGTTTTATTGCTTTAATACCCAAACTCTGGTCTCTGGGTAGATTCCAGCCTGGGAAACGTTATTATACACCCAGACACACAAAGTGTAGATTTTATTATTTAAAATGGGCTTAGTTATACTATTCATATATATTAGCAAAATTAATTAAAATGCAATGCAAATATATTAACCGTACAATTATATATAAACTTTGATGACCTTTGACAAAATGCCTTGCAGTATCTCTAGTGTATGTTTACTCAGTAGTTCTTCATGTTACTTGGCTGAATGCAAAACTGTTCTCCATTAAATATAGGGTGCATTAAATACTCTGGAGCAGCCTTTTTTCATGCACTAACTAGTAGACTTATATAAGGGATAGGGAGCCATTTGGGATTCAGCTAATGGCTCATCTGCTGTTAATTGTCCTTTATAGTCTCTCATTTGAACTATCTGGGAGCTAAATCAACCTCGGTGTGAACGCTTACTAATGTTTTTCCAAATACATTGCATATTTTCTTGGACTCTAATATGTGT